CCCTACAGGGGCAAAAGCAGATGGCTCCGTATTACACCCCAGATCCTGGATTAATAGGGTTGTAAATCACTGCCACAAAATCAGGTGGAGGAAGTGTAAATGTGTGTTTTTATTTCCGCACTGAAACGTCTGTGATATATGTATGATGATGTCTGCTCTATAAACATGTTCCTCTTCAAGTACTTCATGGGCAACTCCTGTGCCAGCAGTAATGTCTAATGCAAGAAAGCAGAGACAAAAAAAATACAGCTTTTCTGTGAAGTTCATCGGGAAATCCTAAAGATTCACAGCCTTCTCTTCTATCCCCCACTTCCTGACCCAGCTTCATAAATGTCACCTCTACTTCCTTCTCAGTCTCCACAGGGTCAGGGAACTTCACTCCCTCCAGCCCTCCCTGGGTCTTGAACATGCCAGTTCAGCACACTTCAGCACAGAGGCGATTGATCATTACAGTCAAAGTCAAAAGCCGCCAGCAGAAGTCTCAATGGCTGCTGAAAAGGAATATGTTGTGAAGGCATCTTGTCTGAAAATGGGAGCTTGGTAGTAAATGCTGTAGCAGGAGATAAGAACCCAAAAGTGTGATGCAGTGATGGAGGAAAACCCAAATAAACCTTCACAGGATGAACTGAGTAAAACAGAAATTATGCACCCGTTGCCTGGACTGACCTAACTCAAAGGGACAAGCAAAACTGACAATTCAGTCAGCATGCAACTCTTCTTAATGCTGGCCTAACGTATCCACACGTGGCAATATTACATTGGTAGCTAGAAGCTACTCCTATATATGTAGAGCTGTATGTTCTACTTTGTAGCAGAAAGGTCTAAAAGTGGCTGAGTCTCAGCGATGGACGACGAGTCGTGGACATTAAATAAGTGTGATGCTGTCTAGGCACTAGGGGAAAAAAAAAGAGTAGTACGCAGCAGCGAGCAAGCAACACGCTGAGCAGAACATTATAGTTTGCAAATGTGTTTGATGGCAGGTATGGTAGTAAGTTGTTGAATTTTCAGCACAGAAGCCAGAGTACTGTTAGTAAATTGCCAGGAGTCCCCCAAAATGGAAAATGCTAGATTTTCTAATGCCAAATTTACAAACTTGGGCTTCTCAAGCATGGCACCCAAATCCATTCCCTAATCACACCTAAACAAGCAGCCTGATTTTCATGCCCCCGAGTACCCCACACAGCATTAATTTATACTGCAAAAGTTGAAAGCATTGGCCTGGTATAAGGTGTTGCAAGATACCCCACACCCCAACTTTTTAAAATAAAGTCTGTATATGTGCTCTCAACCCTGGACCCTGTTGTTAATCCCTCTCAAACACCCAACTGGAAGGATCCAGTAGCTCTGTAGATAAAATGTTTTGTGTGGGGTTTTTTTGTTTTTTTACTAGTCTACCATGAATAGTGCCAGCATGCACTTTTTGTAAATATGGTATATGGGCCAACCAGCATCTCTGCTCAGTATATTTCTACTTTACCATCATTCTCTATTTGGTGGGAGCAGTTCTTTACTCAACTCATGAAGTCCCTACATTAGACCACTGATTTGTTCATCAAAGGTAATAGTGCAAGGATTCAGCTACGAAATAGAAAAAGCTTTCGCTTGGCTCTAATATAAACAGGGACAGCCGGTGTAGGGCAACAAAAGAACCACCAGGACCATATTTAATTGAAATCAATGTAAGCATGAGACCAAGAGATTTATTCAATTAATCAATAAGCTAAGGGATGGAACAACCCTCTCTATAAAACATTCAGGGCCTCCAGCATAACAAAGAGCATCCAGAATTGTGATCTCCCCCTGTCCCTTTCACCCACCAAAAAAAAAAAAAAACCACAAATTTTTCCCCCCCCCCCCCCCTCCCCCCAAAAAAAAAAAAAAACCACAAATTTTTCCCCCCCCCCCCCCCTCCCCCCAAAAAAAAAAAAAAACCACAAATTTTTCCCCCCCCCCCCCCCTCCCCCCAAAAAAAAAAAAAAACCACAAATTTTTCCCCCCCCCCCCCCCTCCCCCCAAAAAAAAAAAAAAACCACAAATTTTTCCCCCCCCCCCCCCCTCCCCCCAAAAAAAAAAAAGGCAGAGAGCAGACAGATATAAAACACGAGTGGAACACCCAAGGTTGGAGTTGGTTGGGGGCAGCAAAGAGGAGGAATCAAGTATCTTCTTGTCACCACAACAAAAGAAAGATTTTATTGCCAAATTACGTCATCTGTCACTGTATGGGTGACATTTTTGACATTAAACAACAGTTAAGCATCTCGCATTGCACTCAGAATTGAGAATATCCAATTGCATTAAGACTCTGATGCAGTACTTCTAAAATTAGATTTATAATCCAGCCTAAATCGGGCACAGGAACCCTCTCAAAGCAAAACCACAGACTTTTACATAGCTCAGCTAATAATACAAGCAATAACAATAGCAGCTGTGTCTCAGGCACCAGAGGTGACTTTTTCCAGGAAAAAAAAAAAAGAGGTGGTACGTGGACAATCAGGTACACACAAAGGGACAAATCTTCCTTTGTGCAAGCAGTCACAACTCTTTTTGACTACAGGGGAAAGCTGCACCCCGTAATGCCTAGGCTGATATTTTGTCCTGCACATTTTCAAAACCAGACTGTCATCTGATATAAATCAGTTTAATTCCACTGACCTCAGGGGACCTATGCCATTTTACACCCATTGAGGAGCTAACCCTATGCATACCTTTCTGAGTCCTTTTATTTGAGGAGATTTGAGGGGGGGATTCCTTTTCCTTCAGCTAATTTAAATGACCCTCAGTTTCCATGGTTACTCTTAAGGCATTCAAAAGCTGCCTGCAGGATGCAATCAGCAAAATGACTAGGCACAAAAATTGATGTTCCTGTGAAAGAGGCTGCTTGCCCAGTATTGCAAACCAAAGGGTTGTAAAGCGGATGCTGATGTTGTAATATTTACTTGCAGTGACATCAAATTAGTATTTATACAGTAGTGCACTTAGTGACACAGGGCACAAGGGTTTTTGTTTGAGCAAAACCCAGCCTGTTAAGTTTATTCCAATCAGGCTTTAACACAATGGAGATATGCCACTCAAAGACTGCAAAACAATGAGCAATTATCTAGCTCATTTATCTGGCCCATCAGACAGAATGCAAAAAAAACCCCTTTAAAAACCTTATTTCTTTAATAAATTGTGTAATAAAGTACAAGAGAGATGGCAGAAACTCTCCCTCTACACTTTACCATTCTGCATTCAGTAAACTCTTAGGGCATTTGTACACATGCTTGCTCTGCAGCGCTGAGTGCTTTTAAAAGCACCTGGCGCGGTGGCACATGCATTCGTATAAACAGTGAAATGCACATCAGCGTTGAAAAAAACGGCAGTGGTGCGCTTTTGAACTAAAACACATTGAAGGTGTTTTAGTTCAAAAACCTACCACCACCATTTTCTCAGTGCTGATGAACATTTTGCTGTTTATACAAACGTATGCGATGCAGCGCCAGGTGCATCAGCTTGCACGCGGAGCAGACTCGATGAATCAAGTCTGCTCTGATGCACTGGATTTTCGGCGTGTTGGAGCAGACAAATGTACATTACGTGTATAAATGCCCTTAGGGCGTTGCTACACCTTACTCTGTGAGCTGCACAAATACTGATCAGTGTTAGTGCTAGTTTGGAGCAGTCACACACTTGGTCTACAAGTCTTCTCTGACTGTCCCCAACCTGCACTGCTGGGACTTGGCACTAGAGGCCTGATGAGCAGGGGCAGAACTAGGCGTTGTAGCTGTGAGTTGCTACTACAGAGCTGGTGAGTCGAGACAGGCTCTATCCCTGCTCTACGGGTGGGGGTGTAAGATCCTGGGATACTGGAGGACTTCAACTTGACCAGCACATCTACAGGGAGTGGCCGCACCTTAATGGAACAGGACCTGGGCAGCGCAGATCAGAGATAATCCTGCTCTGGAGTGGTGTAACTTTGAGTCACATAATGAGTACTTAAAACCACTTTAAGGTGTTAAGGTGTAGAAAATCCAGGGTTTAAGAGCTCCAGGAGCCACCCAAAATTACCATGTAACAAGGCCCTTAAAAGACACAGTGCAGTGTCTCTCCTGCTCCCTCTCACACCCATATCCACACAACACAATGCAATGATCAAATCTAAATTGCAGCAAAACCTTTGTTAAACAAAAAAGAGGTAGGGCAAACCAATGTGGTAACATCCAGCTATTTCTCTACAGCATGGCTATTTATACAAATTATCAGTGTGGATACATTTGAGCTCAATAAAATTTGTTATTTTAACACTGATCTAGAAAGTGTTGGAGTAACACTTTTTCCTAACACATTTTAATTCACTAACCTGCCTCAGGCTAACTACTCAATAACTCACCATTTTCTTCCTCGCCCTTTAGCCTGGTGCCATCTGTGACACAAAACAATAGAAGGACACAATAAGAAAGATATGCTAAATAAAACCCAGCCAATGGGGTCAGATATATGTTTTTCATTAATTAGGAACTTGATTGGGTTTATTATTATTATTTACATCTAGTTAAAATCTGTAGTATTGACTGAAATGTAAACAACTGAATGCAAACAGCTGAAACACTGTTTCCTCCTTTTATTATCAAGCAAGTTCAGAATGCCATGTTTGCCCTGCAGTAGAAAAGGACATGCTGACACCTCCAAGTAGGGTAGAAAATTGCTGTTTTAGGCCCTGGTTCTGCACCATTTAAGCCCTTGAGAGCTTTGCTATTGACTTCAACAGTCTCAGGATCAAGCCCTTAGATGTCAGTGCTGTCATAAGCTGTTGTAAGTGAACAACTGAACTCAGGTTTTTTGGCAGGTAAGGGGCTTTGTAATTCACTATTAAAAGCTGGTCGCACAACCCCCTAAAGCTTCCACTTTTGGCACCTCTGTTCAGGAGCTGTGACATTTTTTAGTCTTTGCAAATAAATTAGGTGACAATAAGACACATATTCAGCTCTCTAGGAACACTGGGTATAAGCTGAAATTTAGAGCTGAACCAAAGGCTTTAAAACAGCTGTCGCTGGCAGTCCCTTGATATGAGGATAACAGTTTCCTAGTAAATAGGGAAGTCCTTGGTGAGTCCCCAGATGACTGAAGAGGCCGATCTGAGATCCACATGTTCAATTGTAGATGTGGCAAGCAGTTCTGGAAGGAAGGGATAAATCCTGGTGCTGTCAGGTCTCAGCTTTTTCCCTTTGTCTCTGTCACCTCTCCACCTCCATATTGTGGCAAGTTTGGCCAAAATTATCAATGCCTTGTCATACATTATGGCAGCAATGGGGACTATTCAGAACTTGAATCTCCCAGGTATAGATGTTAACACTGCATTTCTTCAACTTGTCCTTCAAAGTAATTTTTGAATTCTTTCTTTTTCCATCTCTAAACCAGTGACCACTGGTGAGTTGGCACCATAAGACCTGTTTTGGGAGCTAGCTGTCAGGCATCCTTATGTCCTGTCAAAGGGAGCTGGTGCCATATAAACATTGTTGCAATGATGAGGGTATTTGCTTGAGCCAGAATGCCAGTCTTTGCATTCTTCTGTCCTTCATCTTTGAGGGCTGAAAGATGAAAAGCACTCCACAGAAGGAAAAAACCTGCAGATGTTAAGGTACACATCCAGAAGTGAGGGAAAGAGACTACCTGGCTGTTGTTTGGTTGGGACTGATGTTTAAGGAGGAGTCAGTCCATCCAGCTTAGAAGCTTCAATACAGGTGCCAAGGCAAAATGAAGGCAGCATAGATATACACCCTATAGACTGATTAAATCAAAGTTGCATAAGCTTAAGATACATAGGATCCTATTCTGCAAAGACTGCTTTCCAGTGGTTGCACTTGTAGTAGGAGGCAGGGAAGTATAACCATATAGCTACATCTATTACTCCTTTAAGTTATTCATGATGGAAGGCAGCAGCAAGGCTGAGGTCCAAGGATGAAAGCCTCCATTCTATCATCTGCTGCAGCACAGAGTGCCATTCACGCTATTTGGTTTCATCTGCTGCATACAGCTGTAAGTGAGGAACAGTAAATGCACTCCAAGCTAACTTTTGGACCTCTCTTCTGAAGTGTACAGGTATTCTTGGCATCCACCAGGTGCTTAGACAAATTTCCTGGGGCATTCCTAAGGGTTAACAAGAAGCAAATCCTCCAGCTTAATGTAGGCATCTTTACAAGTACATATGCAGCTGAGGTGGGGGGTAGGACTGAGGAAGGGGAATATGAGCACTTCCCTGGGTCTTTACATAACATGCGCTATTATTAAGCAGCAGCAGGAGTGTGAATATCGTGGCTGTCCAGCATCTGTTCTTGTTTCAGCAGACAGAAGATGGCTGGTGAGGCTGCAGAACAAGCAGCAGGAGTCCCTGCATCACCAACCCATTCTTACCTTGCAGAAAAGGAGAGGAGCAAGAACTGCATCCATTTTCACTGCCCTCCAGGTCATGGCAACATGAAGACTGTACTCAGCACTTCATGTTCTGAATAACTCTGCTCTAGAGGGCAGCTAACCAAAGGATACAGCCACAAAAGCTAAAGAGAAACAGAGTTGCTCAGGGAAATTCTCTTGCAATGAAGCCCAATGCAAAATGATATACAGGCAGTCCGACTTACGACTTTTGAGTTACAACGAACAGCACTTACAACCTTTATAAATGTACACCCTGATTTGAGGTTATGACATGGGTTTCGACTTTACAACACTGGACACAGCTGCCTCCAGTTGGTAAGTTCCTTATGGTGGGGGGAGTGTGGGGGGGGAGGGAAGGGGAGTAGGGAGGTAGCTCAACGCCCCCTCAGTTAGAAAGGAATTGGAGCTGGGACAAGCGCTCCCCAGCTCCACCAGGGGGGCACGGAGAGGGGGTGGGGCTGCTCTGGCTGCTGCGCGCCACCAGTCTGGGAGCTGGTCCTGCCCCCCATACCCAGGAGGCACCAGTCACCGCGCCTAGAGGGCATGGAAGGCCCCCCCCGCATGCTCCCCAGCAGACCCAGAAGTGGATTGGAAGTGCCTCTGGTCCACTTCCAGGTCTGCTGCTGAGCGCTCTGGGGAGCCCCTCGTACTCCTGTGGGACACTCCATCCGCCCTACCATCTCAGCATTCACGAGCCACCTGATACCTTAAGGTGTGTTGTAAAAACGTTTAAAGCTGTGTCTATACCCGAATCGCCAAATCTTTCCAAATCGATTTGGAGGGTTCCGATTCGATTCAGAGATATTAAAGGGTCTCCTGATTCAATTCAGTTTTGGAGATTTGACCACCGAATTGGGCCAAATCTCCACCGAATTACATCAGGGACCGAAGCTTCACACAGCCCCAATAGGTACCACTCCCAGCACCTACCACTGCCCACCCAGAGCGGAGCCCAGTGCAGCCCCAGCCCCGCCTGCCCCGTGCAGATTTAGGGGCACATCCCCCCCCATGCCCAACTGAACTGGCAATGGGAGCAACTGAACAGCTCCTGGACTGGCAGCGTGCAGTGGTGGGAGCCACCTTACCCCCTCTCCAAACCCCTCCCCCCAAGCTGGGCAGTGCTTGGCCCAGACCCTATCCCAGCCCCAATCCCTTCCTTGCTGCAGGGGCATTGATCTGCCCCTGCACAGCCCTTTCCTCCCACCACAAAGGACTTACCAGCTGGACACAGCTGTGTCTAGCATTGTAAAGAAACCAATCCCCCTTTTATAACATTGTTTCTATGGGAAAATTGGTTCCATCTTACCATGTTTCAACTTAAGACACGGTTTTCAGGAACCAATTGTGTCGTAAGTCTGAGGACTGCCTGTATTAAAAATCTGTCAGACCATTACTGCTGCACTGAGGGCCTAAACAAGGATCTCTCTATTTTTGGTGAAAACACATCATCAAGGATGCAGCAAGCCATGCATAGAGCATGTAGAGACCCAACACGTGCCAACATCTGGCTGTGAATACATGCATGCCTGGAAGGGGAAACTGATTTTTGAGGAAGAACCCTTTTTTTTTTTTTAAATAAAGAGAGAGAGAGAGAGAGAGAGAGACTGTCCGCCTTAAATGAGAAAGTTAATTATGCTCTTTTGAGTGCATCATCATTGTGCAGCAAATCAAATCTATTCCTTCCTAAATATGAATATATAGCAATTATAGCTGCGCAAAACTCAGTGCTTACTCACTTTATATGGTTCCACGCAGACTTGATTCACATCTACATTTTGTGGGTTGTTTTTATTCCCCGATTTCCTCTGTTAATTTCCAGTTTGGACCAAGGTCCCTGAAGCTTGAGGCGCTTAATGTTGGGGGTTTATTTTCACTCTTAACGAGAGCACAAGCACTTTTGCACCAGGACAATCTTTCCATCATGATAGCGTCCAGTATGTTGCAAGATGAGACCCCAAGTCAGGCGATATTAGTCTCAGCACTATCAGAGTGCAAATCACAAATCCAGTGAGAAACAAAAAAAAACTCAGATTGAGACACATGTAACTGGTATGTTTTAAAGGTGGAAGGAAAACCACAACATTTGAGATTACTTCCTCCAGTTCATGTTCAGTGCAAAGGCAAGCCACATTCACCTGAATGATCAGGCCTATGAACTTCAGGAATAAATAAAATCCCAAAACAGGCACCTTATCCCAGAATGGGACCAGAAAAAAAAAGTTATGATTATTTTTAGTTTTTTAAGTGACACAGGACACATCTACACGAGACATTTACTGAGGAGTTCCCTAATTAGCTCCACAGTTAAGTCTCAGCAGCTACATGTGCAGCCCTATTAGGCCTCAGTAAACTAATAAATGCTGCTGTAGTTTAGAACTTGTAATGCAAGTGAGGTGGTATTATTTAGTGTGCTGCAACACATATGTAGACACTGATGGGGCTGGCTGGAGCATGAGGGTGCTTCAGTGCAGGGGTTGCATGGCAGCTAACCCCACACTGGAGTACTTTCATACCCCAGCCAGCACCTCTGAACACTATGAGCCAGGTCAGAGCAGCTCCAGGCTGGGGGGCTGGCCCCCCAGGAGCTCCTGCCACCTGGGGCTGCACTGACCTGGCTTAACATGCTGCGGTCAGTGCTATGTGCAAATGCAGCTCCTGGGAGCAATAAACTCCAGCATGAACTGTGCTGGAATTTACTCAATTGCATTAATAGCACATGTAGTTGCGCCCACAGAAAAATAAAGATAACTAACAGAATGAAGAAAGGAAGACAAAAGATAAAGAGGGGAAAAGAATCGATAGGCCCAAGCAGAGTAATGTTCAGACTTGCTCAGTATCCTCTTTTACTATACGTAGGGTGACCATACATCCTGGTTTGGCTGGGACAGTCCTGGATTTTGGAGGCCGGTCCCAGCCAGTTGGTGAAAATTAAAATGAGTATCCCAGGTGCTGGGCAGGGAGGCAGAGCAACAGGAGCTGTCACGAAGTAAGTCTTAGTAGACAGCAAAATTGCCCTAAAATAGATTAGCTTGATTAGTGGAATGACCACTAACACTAACTGTTACTTCACAGGTGGTTGACACCTGTGAAGTAAAGAACAATGGATCATTAATTGGTCATTGACTCCCTGCAGAACTGGAAGGAGGATGGGGAATCAGTGTCTGGGATTTCACATTGCCCCACATTGTCACTCTAACTATATGCCTCTTTACTTGTTACTCCCAGCCTGAGATCCATGATAGAAAACTGAGTTTAATCTGGGAAGCTGCCACACCATCACAAGGAAGGAGAGGCATCAAATCACAAACTGGCATGTGCATCTTGAATAAATATTCAGTGGTCTATTTCTGCTACTGAAAACAGAAGTGATGATGGCACCTACCATTTTAGGAGGACAAGTGTAACCAGACAACAGCTGTGGTGAAGTGTACTAGAGAACACATGAGAATACCTAAATAAAGGTGAAATCCTCACTAGCTACCAGATAGGTCTACTTCACTCACCTGACCTTGGTTCTATGAATCAAAATTTTTGCTTCCATGAAAAGTGACATTTTAGAAAAAAAACAAATTAGAGCAGCAGTTCAGTAAGCAAGGCATCCTGCCTTCGGCAATAAGTAATAACCATAATTCCAGAGGACAGCAAGAATACTTATGCAATGGTTTCAGAAGTTTTTGAAAAGTGAGATTTTCAAAAGAGGTCAGCTTAGTCATCCCAACCTTATCCCACTGAGGTTAGGAACAGACACTGCATTTGTTCTGGGACAAGCTGTGTCCATGTTTGTCCCAGAACAGAAAAGCCCTGGGACTGAAGTGTACACACACCACCTTTCCAATCAGGGTTTAGTGAACAGCTGAATGTACCCTCCTTTTCTACCATTAATTCAATGATGCAATCCCAGAACTGTTCAGACACACTTTGCAGTGTCCCAGGAAAAACCAATTGCACTTCTTATCCTTTGAATCTTTTTAGGGTTTTTTCCTGAGACAAAGGACATGGATGTCTGAAAGACTGCACCTTTCAGTTTTGTGCAACATACTTCTCTGGATTGGACCTCCACCTCTCTACAAAAATCAGTATATAGAAAACTTGCAACAAAACCCGACTGTGGCACCAAATGGACAACAAACTAAATTCCATACATGAGGACCAAGTAAAATCCTTTTATTCATGTTAAAATAAAATCATAGCAGAACTTTTACAAACCTCCTCAATCTGTACCGCTTGGAATACTCAGCAGGTGACCACCCAGTGATCTGTTGTACATCATCTATTCATCTTCTTGATGTTCGTCTTGTACTATGATGACCTGACAACAACTTCCATAGGTACTTCACCAAAATTACTGTTATCTCTATGCCTGATGAAACCAAAGTACGTAAGTTTGAGCCTACTGATTTTTGACTTCAGAGTCCAATTTTCTCCGCTAATATTTTAAACATAAGCATTACATCCAGGAGATATAAAAAGCCTTCTCCCACACCACACCTCAAATGTTTTAATTTGTTCCTGTCACTAGCAGGTTTCCATGCTTTGCCTCTATATATTCATATAAAAAAATTCAGAATGCCACATCCCATCGTAAAACTGATGGCTCTATTTCCATACTCTCCTTATCCTATTTTGTGAATTGCTCTTATGAAGCATACCAATTGGCATTTTCTCCAGTAGTGTTAGATATCAATCATCAGCGATGGTTTTGCTATCATAATCATCAGCGATGGTTTTGCTATCATGATCTTCTATTCTATTCAATCCCAGGGAGAATTATCTGATAAGAAGTCTAATGGCTGTGAACATATCTTTTGTACTGATACTCTGTCTGACACTTGTTGTCCTTGTACTTTTGTCTCGTCTTCCTTTGGAACTGCCTGATTAGTTCTTTGTAACCTCTTCTATTTTCCTCACTCTCCAAGACTCTTTATTTTCTTCTCTTTCACTCTTTATTGGTCTTCTATTAATTCAAACAACGTCTCCTCTAAGCATGTTAACCAGGCCCTTCCTTCAACTTCAGGTCTGACATTACTTGGAGCATACATATTGGCAGATTCAAGCTTTCATTTAATTCTAAAATTCATTCAGCTTTTGGTGATTCTAGGCAAACCCAGCTACAGTGGACCTGCCAAAACTCTTCTAAGCTTTCAGTTTTATGTTAGAGGCCAACATTTGATTATCTGAGCAGCAGCCTGCACCTAGGAAAGTCTGTTCACTGAAAGCTCTGTCTCCACTTTTTTTTAACCAGCATATAGTCTACTTGTTTCTCGTTTTGTAAACCCTGACTACTGTTTCCATTACTTTTTTACGACAGCATCATATACTTTCAAGCAACGTATTCAGCTCTTTGTTTACAAGGGTGATAGCGTCCCTTGGTGTTTTAATCAGTGTCGTCTCTTCAAGCTGTTCATATAGCTCAGTCACGTCATCATCAGCTGCTGTCACGAGAACATAAACTTGCATGATCAACATAATGACTGGATTTGCTCAAAAGGTGAATTATAATAATTTTATCACTGACTGGTATCACTTTGATATCTCCTCAGATATGAGAAACATGACTCCATTTTCTCAGATTCTATGTTGTGCAAGATATGTCCATCCATCATGAAAAGACTGCATCACTGCTCTGAGAATCTGCAAATATTTATCTTATTCCTTTACAAATTTTTTTAGTCAAAATGGAACGCTTCCTTTCACACATACTCCTTACATTCCTTATAACTACTCTGATGATTTTCTTATGAATGTTCAGGTGATCCTTGTGGCAGAAAGCCACCTTGGTTTCTCCCCAAAAATCTCTGCCCTGTGACACTGTGATTTAAATCTCTGTGCTGTGACCATTCAATCAGGATGGGCCCAGCACACAGGGGACCACACCCTCAGCCTGTCTCTTTAGGGAACTGGAGCTGGCTGCATTCCTGAGGGAGGGGGAAACCTGCTCCCTCTGCCTACGTGACTTGCATCACTTACCTGGGTAAGGGGTTTCTACCTGGGGAGCTGGAATCTGCCCGGTAACAGGTGATGCATTTCAAATTGGTTGGCTGACAGCCAACTGGGGCTGACCTCCGCTGGCCCAGGTGAATGAGGTCACAGGGGCTATATAAGTTAGGACGGGGAAGGAGGCGGTCTCTCCTCTCCGGCCATGAGGTGACGCAGCAGCCAGGCAGGGGACAGAGAAGCCTTAACATCTGAAACTGGCTCTCTCCCCCCAAACTCACGAGCTAGGAACCGCCTGCCTCCAAAGGGAAACTTCACCTGCCTTTGGAAGATGCTTGTGAGTAAGCTACTCAATCTGATTAGATATTTAGCTGGAAGTATCACAGATGCGTAATCAAAAGGCTACCACAGCCAGACTGTTTGCTCTTTAGGATTTCTAGATATTGCTCTATCCTGTACCCTAGTTTACCCTACCCCCTGTAATCAATAAAGTTCTCCTTTTTGACTGGTGTGGGAGACTTATTGAGGGGTGGGTCTAAATTATGCCTAAGAGACCCCTTAGGTCTGTGGACTAAGGGAGACTTTACCTTTTTGCCCCCGGACTTGGGGAAGTACCCCAAGTGCCTGTACTGGGTTGAGTACCCGTGGGACTTTAGGCCTGTGTTACCCCAAGGACACAGGGCCGCGAGACAGTCCATTCTTGGGGTGGTGGCGGCACGTTACCCCCAGACTAGCGAGTGTGCTCTGGGAGAGGGGTCGGCCGGACATAAGGCACCCCTAGGGAGGCATTCGGAGCCTGGAAGGTGGTCGGGCGCAGGGAGGTGGGTGGTTCAACACAGGAGCACCCCCTACTGGCCCGCCTCACATGGTGGAAACAGCGGAGGGATACGAATACCCAGCTGTGTTCCTGAGGTGGGATCTCTGCACCTGCCACAATCCTTTTCATTGGTACAAATATCAGACACCGTACTCAAAGGATTTGGTACAGCCCCATGGTAAACGCTACCAGTGCTCTTAGTAGAAAGAAGGTGTTCCCCCAAGAACACTATTGTACACTCTGGCCTGAGTCTCACTATCCAATACCAGTGACCCCATAAAGGAGTGATAGCTGTATCATCAACAAGGAGTTTAAAAACCCTGGTTTGACTCAGCTGAGGGAGTGAGAGGAGGCTGAGTGGGCACAAGTGGGGGCTTTCGCCACGCGTGTGCCCCCCTGCAACTTACCAGCAGCAGTGGAGGTAGGGGCAGCAGCAGCTGATCCCCCAAAGGTAGGTGGGGCAGGAGCTGGTACAGCTGCAGAGGATCCAGAGGGGAAGCTCCCAGATCCCTCTTTGCTGAGCCGGGCAGGGAGCCGCACTCCTGAGCCGCGTGTGCAAAGAGAGCGCGCAAACAGGCGTGCTCTGTAAGGGCACACCGGCATTTGCGCTGGCGTTCACACAGGCGGAAGCAGGCGGGGCAGTGAGAGAGCCTTCCTCAGGAGGGAGGAGGCTCCACCAACAAGGAGAGCGGTAAGGACCATCTGCGAGCCATGGTGAAGATTCATAGCGCTGCCAGGGACCCTGCCCCAGTGGTGCCGCCCTTCTGGGGGTCCTCTGAGGCTGCCACCCAGACAGAGCCCTTGGCGGGCCTGGTGACCACCTGCCCCCGATCTGTGGGGGCAGCTGTGTGGGGTCCCTGGGGGTGGGGCTGACGTCTGGTGACTCCCCCACCTGCCCCTCTTGTGAGAGTCTTCAGGCTCTGGAAGGGCAGGTGGCAGAGCTCCAGGCCAAAGTGAGCATGTTGCGAGGGATCCAGGCAGCAGAGGATGAAATTGATTTGTATTTCTGTTCTCTGCAGGGCCAGAAATCCACTGGAGAGACCCCACGTGCAAAATGTCCAACTAATCGGTGGCAGCAGGTTCCTGTCAAGGCCAGGGCAGCTCGTACAACTGCTGTGCCTGCTCCCCAGATACCCCTCGGGAACAGGTAAGCAGCCCTGGCTTCCCTGGAGGAGAAAGCAGAAGAGCAGATCCCCAGAGTCATTGATGCTGCTCAACCTACAACATGGGCTGAGAAGAGGCAGACCCCAAAGAGGAGGAGACGTAAAGTTCTGGTCATCGGGGACTCCATCCTGAGGGGAGCCGATGGTCCAATCTATCACTCTGGGCCCTGGACACGGCAGGTCTGCTGTATGCCCGGAGCAAGGATTTGTGAGATCACGAAAATCATCAAGCCCTCTGACTAATACCCACTGGTTGTGGTCCATGTGGAACAAATGATGCATCCAAGGGCAAGCCGGACAACATCATGGAAGACTACAAGCCTTGGAGCACCAACTCAAGAAGATGGGAGCTCAGGTGGTATTTTCCTCCATTCTCCTGGTAAGTGGATGGGGTAGGCGTCATGAGGCCTGCACTGATGTAGTTAACCAGAGGCTTCAGAGCTGGTGCTACGAGGCAGGCTTCGGGTTTTTTGACAATGACCCGTATTTCTGTTTGGAGGGCATGCTGGAGTGGGATGGGCTTCATTTCTCCCCTAAGGGCAAACGTATTTTTTCTTCTAGGTTGGCTGATCTCGTACGGCAGGTTTTAAACTAGCTTTGCCAGGGGAAGGGGCCACTCCAAGTGGAGAGGGTGCTTCGCCAGCATGCAGGGTGACAAAAGAAAGGGATGCCCAGGTAAGCAACAATGTCCTGGGAGTAGGGGGGAGGCGCGTGCACCCTCAGGAAGCCTCAAGTGCCTCTACACCAATGCTCGTAAGTATGGGAAGCAAGCAGGAGGAACTGTGCCTCCTGATTGTGAGTAAGAATCCAGACTTAGTAGGGCTCACAGAAACCTGGTGGGACCCTACCCACAACTGGGCAGTGGGCATTTGGGGATACACCCTATATAGAAGGGACAGGACAGAGAGGAAAGGCGGGGGGGGGGGTCGCACTCTATGTCAAAGAGCAACTCACATCATCAAGGATTAGCTTTGGGTTAGAGGAGGGTTGAGCAGAGACACTGTGGGTCAAACTACAAGGGGGGCATGGCGAAAGGGACCTTACAGTGGGTGTCTACTATAGACCACCCAACCAGGAGGAAGAGCTGGACTGGGACTTCTCCGATCAGCTTATGGAGGCGGTTAGGGTCAAGGGATGTCATTGTCATGGGTGACCTAAACTACCCAGACATTTGCTGGGAGGAGCCGACAGCCAGGTCTGACCACTTGCGTAGGTTCCTGGCTATATTACAGGACCTACACCTTATCCAGAAGGTGCACAGCCCCACTTGGAGTAATGCCTTGCTGGACCTGGTCCTGGCCACTAGGGATGACTTGGTGAGGCGACTGCAGGTCTTTGACCACCTGGAAAATAGTGATCACCAGCTGGAATTCACTATCCAGAGCAGGGTGTCAAGGGCTTATAGCAAGACTAAAGCCCTTGACTTCAGAAGGTCCAACTTCAACGAGCTTCAGAGATTAGTGGGGGAGGCACCGAGGGCCCAGAAGGTAGAGGAGATAGGAGTCCATGAAGGATGGTCATACCTTAAGGGGGCAATCCTTCAGGCCCAAAAGGTGGTCCCTGAGAGAAGCAAGGGGGGTAGGAGTGCTCAGAAACCCCCTTGGCTCAGCAAGGGCATTCAGGAATGCCTGAGGACTAAAAGGGTGGCATACAACCAGCGGAAGGGAGCGGCTATCGCCAAGGAGGAGTACTCCTCCTCGGCCCGTGAGTGTAGGAGGGCCATTAGGAAGGCCAAGGCAGAGATGGAACTCAGGCTAGCGACCAGGATTAAGGACAACAAAGAGTCCTTTTACAAGTACACTGGGAGCAAGAAGAGGGCGCCAGGCAATATAGGGCCCCTGCAAGACGCAAACGGTAATCTTGTGGCTACGCCATATGAGAAAGCCGATATTTTTAACAGTTTCTTTGCCTCTGTTTTCTTGAACAGGGGCCGGGACATCCCTGCTGCCAGAGGTAGGGACAAATCTCAGAGATAGCTCTGACAGGCCTTGGGTCAGCGCAGAAGTAGTTAGGGATCTTCTGGAAGGCCTGGACATTTTTAATTCTGCGGGTCCAGATGCCCTCCACCCAAGGGTGTTGAGGGAGCTGGCAGGGGTCATCACAGAGCCCTTGGCCTGGCTGTATGACCATTCATGGTCATCTGGCCAAGTGCCAGGGGACTGGAAACTAGCTAATGTGGTCCCCATTTTTAAGAAAAGAAGAAAGGAGGACCCAAATAACTATAGGCTCGAAAGCCTCACCTCAGTCCTTGGGAAGATCTTGGAGAAAATCATCAAGGAGCACATCTGTGGGGGGCCAGCAGGGGAGATCATGCTCGGGGGCAATCAGCATGGGTTCAACAAAGGTAGGTCCTGCCTGACCAACCTGATTGTTTTTTATGACCAGGTAACTAAATCCTTGGATGATGGCGTCACTGTGGATGTAGTTTTTCTAGACTTTAAGAAGGCCTTTGACACTGTCTCTCACCCCATTCTCATTAATAAATTAAGTGACTGTGGCATCGATGCCTGCACAGTTGGACGGGTAAACAACTGGCTGATGGGGTGTACCCAGAGAGTAGAGGTGGACGGGTCGACTCAACCTGGCGAGGTGTGAGCAGTGGGGTGCCCCAGGGCTTGGTCCTCAGACCCACACTGTTTACCATCTTCATCAGTGACTTGGACAAGGGGGTTGAAAGCACATTGTCCAAGTTTCCTGATGAAACTAAGATGTGGGGCAAGGCAGGCACACTTGAAGGGAAAGAGAGGCTGCAACTAGATTTAGACAGACTACAAAAGCGGGCAGACGAGAACAGGACGGGGTTCAACGTAGATAAATGCAGGGTGCTGCACCTTAGGAGAAGGAATCCACAGCATACATTCAGGTCTCTTGAAAGCACAGGGGTGGAAAGGGATTTTGGAGTCATTATTGACTCCAAGAAGAACATGAGCCACCAATACTAGACCGCAGCCAGCAAAGCCAGCCATACCTTGTCATGCATCCAAAGATGCATCTCAAGCTGGTCCAGAGAGGTGATACTCCCCCTCTACGCAACATTGGTTAGGCCACAGTTGGAGTACTGTGTCCAGGATGTGGCCAGCCTGGAGACAGTTCAGAGGAAGGCCACCCGCTTGGTGAGAGGGCAGTAGGACAGGCCCTACAAGGAAAGACTGAGGGACCTGAACCTGTTCAGCCTTGGCAAGAGGAGGCTGAGGGGGTCCTGGTGGCTGCCTACAAACTCATCAGGGGAGATCATTGGCAAATAAGAAGAGTCCTAACCTCCCCGGCATCACCTGGAGTGACGAGGAACAATGGTAATAAGCTGATGGAGAATAGGTTTAGGTTAGAGATCAGAAGGCAATATTTTACAGCTAGGGTGGCCAGAATCTGGAACCAACTTCCCAGGGAAGTGGTCCTCGCCCCTACCTTGGGCAAATTCAAAAAGAGGTTAGATGATCACCTGTCTGGGGTCTTGTGAACCCAGCATTCATTCCTGCCTGTGGCAGGGGGTCAGGCTAGATGATCTGTTCAGGTCCCTCCTGACCCTAGCTACTATGAAACTACGAGTCAGAGGTAGGGGTTGGGGAGAATGGGGGGAGAAAAAGATTTCTCATTAAAAAAATACATACCAGGAAGTCATCCTGCTAGTTGGCAAAAGATGGCACTACAATGACCTGGTTTTAAGGGAGATGGTTTTGAGGGATTATAATCGAAGTTCTCAACTTTACAGGGAAATGCTTAGCTATGTGAGACTTAAAGATGCTACCGGCATAACTCAGGCTAGCAGGTCTCCGTTATACTTCCTCCTGCAATGATTCTTTCCCTAGTGTTGTGTCTGATTTCCGGTTGAAAGGAAAGACCACGGCAGTCGTTGCAGAAATGAAACTCATACAAGGTGCCAGAGATTTCATGACCAAATCAGCCTTTCGGCACACCACTTCAGATGAGTTCATCCCAATGAACCTATATATTTATACTGACAAGCTGTCCCCAGGTCATTTCTGTCTGTGTGCACATGACTCTCTAAGAAAGTAACAGTTACACAGGCTATAATTCCACTGTGAGGGTAAAGATGATATCATATTCCTGGAGTCAGCAGAACTTCAAGATGAAAGACCTCTGCATTCCCTTTGCTGCCTTCTTCTGCTGTTATTTCTTGGATCAAAGCAATATTTATTTATTCCCCCCAGTACTTTTTTTTTTTTTTTTTTTACATTCCATATGTCTCTACTCATTTTGCTTACCACTTTTCCCAAGTAAGACTCTCATTGGTAACAACACCAACTTTGCCATTTTGCCTGAGTAAAGATGAAGCAAAACCCAATTAGGGACTACAGGATTTAACCTTATATGAGCTGAAAGGTCTCACTGAAAAATAATAGTAAAATCATATGTTGGTGTCAGTCTGTTCTGTTAAATGAAGCCTTTCCAGCGATACAATTTTATTCCTGAAATAAGGAAGTAATGGGACCCGATCCAAAAAAGCATGCATCTAGGGACAACACCAAGGGATGAACAAGTCCAAACAAGCAAGAAAATGCACACTGAAGATAACTATTGCTACCTTAACACATGTCATTTGGCCTATGGACTGCAATCTAAATATTATTGTCATTAGAATGTATTTATATTGAAGTAATGCCCAAATTGCCTCAAGCAATAAAAGGGTCCATTTTCACTAAGCTATATATTGTTGTGAAGCACCTGCAATTCTGGGATACTACAAAATGCTGGAACAGTGGTTAAGCTTCCACTCCAAATTCCCTCGTAATCATTGGGTTAAGTTAGAAGCTTGATATTATCAGAATTTCCGGTATTTCATTACAACATGTCAGGCAGGATCCTCCAAGTGAAGATTCTTGGCAGCACCTCCATTAGAACTTGCTGCTTTCGGCTAAAATAAATTCCCTCTGGGCTAAGATATATATATATATATATATATATATATATATAAAATACTTATACACCCACATATCCATAAATATACATATGGCATGATATTCCATCAGAGCCCACAAAGAATGGCATGATTACATATTCAGTCCCAGGAGATATCATGAAGAGGAGACATTAATTATAAGGAAAAACAGAACATATTTAACCAGTTTTCATCTTTCTTCCTTTCCAAAATGGAAAGAACTAATTCTTCCCCAGCCACAAAAACCTCTTCCTCCCCTCCTCTTTTTTTCCCCTCTCTTTCACACATACTTGTCCTTACCTGTCAATAATAGGGAGATGCGACTCACAAAGGGCTTCTTGGTGCCCTGACAGTTTTGACAGCTCTTACTATTACAGCTTATTAAGAGAGAGTACAGAGCATGATACCAGTGCCTTAAAATCCCCTCCCCACGCCAACCTTTTTACATGGCATTTCCTAACTTTGGCTGGCAGCTCCCTTGTTCCTTCTGGGATCGAGGAGCTCATGGTTTATAGAAACTCCTCTTCACCAGAAGGTCAAAAATCCCATCAAATTAAAAATCCCTGCTCTCTTTTCATTAGGTATTAATTCACAGAAGCCGTGTGAGTCAGCATATTAAAACAGGCAATAAAGTTTTGAGCTAAAGTCCATTGAAGTCAGTGGGATTCCTTCCACTGAATATGATTGGCTTTGGCTCCCAGAACACATTTCCAACAGGGGATGTTTGGCTCTAGGCAAAATTTTTAAGCATCACCAAAGATCCCAGTATTAATGTCAATGACCATTTTAAGAGCAACGTTACTGTCTGACAGATTACAGTGGCCCCACACGTGAACATGTACAAAAGGCCGCACTCTGTGCATTTCATAACTCTGAAGCTACAGGGATTGAGAACTTCAGAAAAAATTATATTAGCAATAGAGTCTACGAAGGCTGAAGAATTAATAGCAACAGAAACTGTCCTTCCCTGTTTACATTTGTTCTTCTACAGGGAGTACAGCAGTGCAGTCACTTTCCCTTTGGCTGCATCACATGTGACCTCTCAGGGTGGGGTCTGCCCAAAGCCTCTGCTTTTCCATATGGCTGAAGTTCTGAGCAGGAGCAATGCTGTTGCTGCTTGTCCCTTCCTTTCTCCTACTGATGAATTCAGCAGGAAAGGGGAGGGCAAATGGCAGCAGATTTCACCTCTTGGGCTCTGGAGCTATGGGAAAGCAGGTGCTCCCACCAGCCCCAGCCCCAATCAGCTGGTGATCTCAGAGCATACTGCTCTTGTGCGGCTCCAGCTGGAGACCAGACTGACCAGGCAGTGAGCTCAGAGCTCACTGTACAGGCACGACAGCCAAAGCGGGGGCTGCACACCCCTTGGCCTGTTCCTGACTCTCCTACTGCATACAGCTCCATTGTTCCAGAGATACTAGCACAGTAGGTTTCCGAAGCAGGCATCTTGCTCGTTTCCATTCTATTACAGGTTCTTACAT